GTCTAAGGGCCGTGTCTGAGCCGCTGAGAGCTGAGGACCATCCAGACGCGGAGGGGCTGAACACACGCGGACACAGAGGGCCGGGACAGCACGGACCATGGCGTTGAAGCGGATTAATAAGGAACTTAGTGACTTGGCCCGGGACCCTCCAGCGCAATGTTCTGCAGGCCCAGTTGGGGATGATATGTTCCATTGGCAAGCCACAATTATGGGACCTAATGACAGCCCATAACAAGGCGGTGTATTCTTTTTGACAATTCATTTTCCTACAGACTACCCCTTCAAACCACCTAAGGTTGCATTTACAACAAGAATTTATCATCCAGGGGCTGGTGAGATGGCTCAGTGGTCTAAAGCACCTCCTTAGAACAAGCTAAGCTAAGCAAAAGCAGAGACCGACCGCGGTTCAATCCCCAGGGCCACATGCCAGCCAGACCCGCCCCCTGGTGGGCTGAACTGGCCACACACACACTAAATAAATAAAGTTATATTAAAAAAAAAAAGAATTTATCATCCAAATATTAACAGTAATGGCAGCATTTGTCTCGATATTCTAAGATCACAGTGGTCTCCTGCTTTAACTATTTCTAAAGTTCTTTTATCCATTTGTTCACTGCTATGTGATCCAAACCCAGATGACCCCCTAGTGCCAGAGATTGCACGGATCTATAAAACAGACAGAGACAAGTACAACAGAATATCTCGAGAATGGACTCAGCACTGTGCCTGTGATGCTACCTTAAAATCTGAATAACCTGCATTATAGCTGGAATAAACTTTAAATTACTGTTCCTTTTTTGATTTTCTTATCCGGCTGCTCCCCTATCAGACCTCATCTTTTTTTAATTTTATTTTTTTGTTTACCTCCCTCCATTCATTCACATGCTCATCTGAGAAGACTTAAGTTCTTCCAGCTTTGGACAATAACTGCTTTTAGAAACTGTAAAGTAGTTACAAGAGAACAGTTGCCCAAGATTCAGAATTTTTTTAAAAAATGGAGCATGTGTATTATGTGGCCAATGTTTTCACTCTAACTTGGTTATGAGACTAAACCATTCCTCACAGCTCTAACTGCTGAAGAAGTCATCTGAGGGGGGGGGATGGATGTTCGGTTATCTCGGCAAGAAAGCAGCATTATTCTAGCAGCATCCATTCTTGTTAAGCCTTCCACTGTTAGAGATTTGAGGTTACGTGATATACTTCATGCTCATAACTGATGTGGCTGGAGAACTGGTATTGAATTTACAGCATCAGCAGAACAGAAAATGTGATGTATTTTATGCATGTCAATAAAGGAATGACCTGTTCTTGTTCTACAGAGAATGGAAATTGGAACTCAAAACACCCTTTGTATTCCAAAGTAGGGTCTCAAAACATTTTGTAATTTTCATTTAAATTGTTAGGAGGCTTGGAGCTATTAGTTAATCTATCTTCCAATACACTGTTTAATATAGCACTGAGCAAATGATGCAAGTTGTCAATGGATGAGTGATCAACTAATAGCTCTGCTAGTAATTGATTTATTTTTCTTCAATAAAGTTGCATAAACCAATGAGTTAGCTGCCTGGATTAATCAGTATGGGAAATAATTTTGTAAATGCAAAGCTGGTTTTTTTTTTTTTTTTTTGTATGTACTGTTGGGATTTGCTTCATTGTTTGACATCAAATGATGATGTAAAATTCAAGAGTGACTATTTGCCATGTTCAATTAAAAGTGCAAGTCTGTTACAGGTTTACCTGTCGCTTTCTGACTTATGAAGAACTAATAAGCTTATTCAGATAGTGTAGCTTCAGTGCACTGCACATTATATACTGGCAGCCCTGGAGTTCAGAGATGGACTTGGGGCCCAGCAGCTTTGAAATGTGTGTATGGAGTTGAAGTTTATTTTCCAGGTGCATCCCCCATCTAAAATGTCTTCACATTGTACACTTGAAAACTTAAGAAAACCGTAACATGAGAGTAATAGTGGGTCAAAATTTACACAATAAAGTATCCTGCTTTGGTGTGGGAGTTGTCAAAAAAAAAAAAAAACTACTATCTGGCTGATCTGGTTCCTATATTGAGTAACCCATAACAGGTTAAGCTTCAAAAAATCCCTAGATATTACCCTACTGAAGATGTGCCCCGAAAGCTGTTGAGCCACAGCAAGAAACCCTTCAGTCAGCATGTGAGGAAACTTCGAGCTAGCATCATTTGCAGCACCCTCTTCATCATCCTCACCAGGCGTCACAGAAGCAAGAGAATGGACTTCCTAAAGCAGTTGACCAGGGGCTTGCTACTTTTGACTGGGCCTCTTAGCTTTAATCGTGTTCCTGTACAAAGAACACGCCAGAAATTTGTCATTGTCACCTCTACAAAAATTGATATCAGCAAAGTAAAAATCCCCAAACACCTCAAACAGCCTGATTCTTAAGGCTGTGCTAGACCTGCACTTACAAAGATTTAAATGCATACTTTCAAAAAAATTAAACTGATCCACAAGAACTTACATATGAAAAAAACAGAATAAAGTTCCAAACCTGTGTGACTGCACACACCTATAATCACAATACTCTAGGAGGCTGAGGCAAAAAGATCACAAATTCAAGCCCAGCCTAGGTAATTTAGAGACTTTCTCTCAAAATAAAAAATTGAGAGGGCTATGGATGGAGTTGAGTACACAGGCCCAGGATTGAATCCTCACTATATAAAAAAATAAAAATAAGGTTCAATAGTACTTAACTATTTAAAACTTTAAACAATCTAGGACCCTTATATATAAAATATACGGTTTTTGTTGTTGTTGTTTTGTTTTTGTTTTTTTGCAGTACAGGGGATTGAACTTAGAACCCTGTACTTGCTAGGCAGGTGCTTATTCTACTGAGCTATTTCCCTGGCCCTATACATGTTCAATATCCAACCAAAAATTACCAGGTACACAAATAATCAAAAATTAAAGCCCGTAACAAAAACAAAGTTCAACAACAACAAAAAAAACCCAAAACATGCAACACTAAAGGGCTAACATAGTTATATAAATACAGTCTACATGTCCAAAAAGATAAGTGAAAATACAAATTTTGTAACTTAAAAAGATACTTAAAAACACAAAAAGAGAAAATACTACAAAAAATATTAGAAAACTACTGTACTATGTGAAATTAGAAAACAAACTAGGTATTTTAGAATAAAAGATTGGTAAATTTACAACCATTTTCAGATAGATTACAGATCTAAACATGTGAAACAATACAGCTTTTGGAAGATAATATAAAATACCTTCATAACTTCAAGGTAGCGAAAGTTCTCTTAAGACACAAAAACAGTAACAGCGCAAAACTTGGAAAATTTAACATCTAGAGACTAGAGAAAGATATTAAAATAAAATGTAAAAAAAAAAAAAAAGAAACAGTCAAAGGGATATTTGAAACCTTGTTATAAAGGACTTAATATTAACTATTCAGTCTCCTTGGTTAGTTCATTCCCAAAAGAATAAAAATCATATTGGCACAAATTAGTAAGTCTAACAGCACTGCTGACATCAATACCAACCTAAAGGGAAATCTCATATGTTGTTGGCTTTTGTGGCTTAATCATTTGACAAAATAATTACCCATTATCTAAATAAAGTTGGAGAAAGCCTATAACTCACAAAGCCAAGTTCTAGGATACATCTTATAAGGGAGGTATTTACATGAGCCAACATATTTGTATAAAACTATTCAAATCAGTGTTATAATGGCCCCAAATGTCTGTGTGTGTGTGTGTGTGTGTGTGTGTGTGTGT